TTGGGAGAGACTACAGGGCACTGTGCCCAGCCGAGGCCCCTGTCCTGCCAACGCTCAATAGCCAGATCGCAGCGGAGGCCCCAGTGGACATTCTCCGCGCCCTTCCCTGGATGGGCGCTGACGCCAAGGCCGCAGATCGCTTCACCAAGACAGGAGCGGCAAACCTCCCTGGGTCCAACGCCTCGGGAACAGCCGCCCCCGTGGCCGAGCAGGCCCCCAGGGCTCTCCCGCAGCTCATGGAGCTCCTGCCATCTCCTGCCTGAGCTGCCAGCCCCTCAGGGGCCGCTCCTGGACTGCAGGGAGGTCACCAACCCCACGCTCAGAACAGACGACCCCAGGAGTAGGTCTGGCAGCAGAAACCTGGTCGTTCAGCAGCTCCTCGTGACCTACCTCCGGGACTTCCACCCTGGATTGGACTACCTTTGGCGGCAGTTCTGCCGCGGCCATTGCGATGATGACATCCCAGAGCCTAAAAACGAAGAAGCCTCGTGGCCAGGCGGTCGGTTGACGGATTTTCTCAGGGCGGCGTACGGCGACTACATCCCGAGGGATTGCTCCCCGCGCAACCAGCCCTGGGAAGGCAAGCGGCTGGCCGCCGCGCGAGTCGTCTCCCACCTCACCAACGGCGAGAAACACAAAGAGGCCTGGGAGCGGCTTGTCTCGACCCTCGCCCCGGCGAGTGGCTTCAACCCAGCCAGACGCGAGATGGGCGCGCTGACGAATTTCCTGCTCAGCCTCAGTGCCGATGCCCTGGCCTCGACAACCGTTACCTCCCTGGCGGGTTCACATGTGCAGGCCATGAGCGAGGACAGGCCCGGCAGCAAGGCAGGGCGCCCTCCGACTCAGTGGCTGGGCAAGCCCAAGGCTCCAGCAAGAACCGTGGGCGACGCCTCCACAGCGGTTAGTGCAGACTACTCCCTGGGTTCGAAAGACGCCGGGATGGCTGCTGGAGACGCGAAGGTGCCTGGCCCAACTGCCAAAGAGGAGAACGACGAAGATGAAATTCCTGCCACGGAGCGAGCGGATCCGGCCGACTTTGGAAGCCCCCAAGAGGGTCCTCCCCCTGATGACGGTCCGGACACAGACACGGGTGAGGAAGATGATGGCCCTGGCGCCAAGCCGCCGCAGCAAAGCCCAATGGCAGAGAGCATGGGGCCCAGCTCCGACGACGACCCGTTGAACGCCTGGGCTGGTGCAACCACCACAGAGCAGAACGCCAGTGGTTCCAGGGGACCAGGTCGAGACGAAGCCGCGCGAGACAGAGGCACAGCACATGACCACCGCCCCACACTACGCAATCCGCAAGCACCAGACCGCAGGCTGGCCTACTCTGGCGCCGCGGAGCGACACGTTCTCAACCGGCTGACCGACGCCCACGGAGGCCCCATGTACAAGGCTTGGTTGGGCTCCGTGGACTTGGAGCGCCGCGGAGAGACGCCCGCCAAGCGCATCACCAGACACCAAGTTGAATAGGGTGGAGTATTCTGTGCCCTTTGGACTGCGTACGCAAAAAGTATCCGGATCCCTGGGCCCAAGGATCCCAAGTCAGACCCGAAGCTGCACTCGGACGCGGACATCAATAAGTTCTTGGATGACTGGAAGCACTGCGGATACGATGCCTACGCGATGGACAAGAAGTATAACTTCTGCATCGATTGGGCAACGGCTCGGGCCGAATACATGCGCCACACCAGGACAGACGGCACTGGCAAGGGCAGCCTCCAACAGAACAGCTGGTCCGACCGGGCAAGGAGCTCCTGGGGCTCCTGGGACAACTGGCAGGTTGGCTGGAGCTCTGGCTGGCACGAAGACCAGTGGCAGTCAGGTGGCAAGCGTGGTGGCGGCAGACCAGATGACCGTGGCGAGAAGAGGCAACGGTGGGCCGACTGAGCCCCCCCCCTTCACCAAGAGCTTCAGGTGCAGCGTCCGTTTTCCACACTCTGTGCAGCCTTCAGCTGCCTCCCTGGGTTGCGTTTCATATACTCGGGTGGCGGCCTTCCGCCGCCCTCCCTGGTACACGCACTTCCTGCTTTTGGACCCAAGTGTGTTTACCGGCAATACCGTCTGCATGTCATCACGGGGGCGTGTTGCTTGCAGGCCATGGTTGGCCCCGGCCCTGCTGTAGTTGTCTCACCTCTGGCCCTGGTGGACTTCGTCCCCCGGCCTCGCGGCTCTGTGACCGACGCCGATGGAGTTGCCTCGTCTCCGTCCAGATCCGCACTCACCATTCTCCCTGGGTTCTCAAAGGTACTGCGGCCTTCAGCTGCTCATCAGTATAACTCGTGTGGCGGCCTTCTGCCGCCCTCCTGGTACGCGCACTTCCTGCCTTTGGACCCAAGTGTATTTACCAGCAATACCGTCTGCATGACAGCGCTGGGGCGTGTTGCGCGCAGGCCATAGTTGGCCCCGGCCCCGCTGTAGTTGTTCCACCTCTGGCCCTGTCGGACGTCGCCCCCCGGCCTCGCGGCTCTGTGACCGACGCAAAGATAGCTTCGCCTCGTCACTGTCCAGAACCGCACTCACATTCCCTGGGCATCTTCTTGACCACTGGCTGTTGCTTGGGCTGCAGCTGGTAAGCGGCAGCACAGCTTTCTCAGAGCGCCATCGTCTTGCACTTCATTCTGGTACGCCAGGGAATCAAGGATAGGCGGCTCTGTGTGCGCTCGTCACGTTAGATGCTTTGGTACGCGTCACTGCTCTTATCTCCGGGTGGCAGTCGCCTGCGATTTGTGCCTGGTAGAGGATTGGGACACTTGTACCTTCCGCATAGCGTCACATCATGTTACCTGATGGCTCGCTTGCGAACGCATGTGTTCGGGGTTGTCTCCTGGGCCTGACGTGCTTCGTTTGGTTGCAGACACCACGAATTTCGCACCTTTTGGCCGCGTTGGTGCGTACTCTGAAGCTGCGACGGTTCGCTGGCGCTGTCAGAGTCCAACCTCTCCTACGGTGTGCAGTCTGGCGACAGGTTGCGTGTCTCTCGGTCGCCCTGCTTGAGCACGGCAGACACCCCGGGACCCCTTCGTACGCCAATCCTGCGCCGAGGTTGTCAGACTCCCTACTGGTCAGATATCCTTGACACGGTGGGGGTCTTGCATCGCGCCACTTTGGCAGCGTAATTATTGCTCCCTGGGTGCGGTCCGTCAGACTCCCTGGGCTGCAGCACCCCTGCACCCGCCGCTTGGCGCCAATTTGTAGCGGCCAATTTGTAGCGGCCGCAGCCCGACCGTTACCCGCCGCCGCTGGCGCTTCCGCCCGCGGCTGTAAAAAAACTCCACAGAAACTATGCCCAGGGGAGCTGCCCTTATCAGGGGAGCGGGGGGCTTCAGTGAACCAGAGGCCTCATGGATACCCTTCGGGGTCGCTAGGGATGTATCCTGATAGGCTCACCGTGGCCTTTGAGGGCGTCTTGGGGGCCTCTTGGGGGCTTTTGGGGGGCCTCGTGGGGCCTTCTTTGGGCCCTCCTGGGAGGATTCGAGGTTTTCGTGGTACCATCTTGGGGGATATCGATCACACCAGGGGGGGAGGAGGGGGGGGGCGTCTCTTGAGGCTCTCTTCGTGCGCTCTTGGGTTCTCTCGGGGCCGTCTTGGGTCCCTCTTGGGCCCCTCTTGGGTCTCCCTTAGATTGGGCCCTGTTGAAACCATCCTGAGTGAGTTTCGGAAGGTCATTGGAAGCGAACGGGCGGGAAGGTCAACATCATTGATTTGTCATCGCTGTTGGAAGGGGGTTGGCCTGTTGGGGACATCCACAGGACCCCCAAGGCCACTTTGACCCATCTTGGAGTGGTTCTGCAACACCTTGGCCATCTTGAGTGGCCTCACGCTATTTTGAACCATCTTGGAGGCTAGCTTACGCTCTCTGGGACCCTCTCGGAGCCATTTTGGGCCATCTTGGACGCTCCAGCGACGCGCGGGGCGACCAGGCCAGACCCGCGGGGGGGGAGTCAAGCTTCCCACAAGCCCCAAGCCGTCTCGCTCACTCCCACCCGCCCTCCCAACACATAACCAGCACCCGAGTCGTAGCATGGGCAGGGGCCGCCATCGAAAACCATCGGGAACCAATGCAGACGCCAGCGACGTGCGCCGCGCGTGTCAGGGCCTCCCACCATCCTTGCAACATAAGAGTGCGAAGTGACCGTGGGGCGCCCGCGCATGGGCAATCTGTTTCCGTAGAGTGTACTTAGCATAGGTTTCTGGCAGGGATGGTGAGCCTGCCCACGTGGGGTAACATGCGACCTCAATTCGTGACTCTCAGAAACAATACTAATTCATCGCGGGGCGCCCGGACATGACCAATATTCTGCCGCAAGGCGCATTCAGCATTGATTTTTTGGCAGGGTGGCGGGGGGGTGTCGGCATTGTTCCTGGTTTGTCGCCAGTCGAGTGTGGGAGGGGGTGTTCGTTCAAAAGGAGCAGAGATGAACCCGCTCCGAATGGGAAGAAGGAGGTTGAAGGAGGAGGCGGTTTAAGCCACCTACGCCTTAAAGGGCTGGTGGGATTATTTCTGATAGGGAACGGGTCTGAGGAGAGGCCTGGCTCAGGATTGCTCCTCCATCGGCACGTGGCGGATGACGGGAAGTGCGGACCTGGCGGATGACGGGAAGCTGGCCTAGACTCGGAGGGTCCTGCGATGGACGTTGCATACCAGCCTGGAGAGAACTATGTTTCACGTGGGGAGGTCCAGGAGGGGAGCGTCTCCGAGTTGCTCGCTGATTTACGCACGTCTGGTTTTGAATACTGGCGTTTCGCCGAAAACGTGTTCGAAACATGGACATGCTGTTTTGTTGTACGACGTCGTTCCTCAACATTGCGGCGATCACCTGAGACAGACATCTTCGGACAAATGAGACATTCAAATCACATGCCATGTTTTCGCGTCTTCGAGAAATGGGTCGCTCGCCTGAGTCATCCCATATATATATATATATATAGAGATATAGAGATATAGATATGGGATATCAGAAGAGGTGTTGTTCGGTCCCTGCCTTTGCCACCTGTGGCCCAAGCCATTGTCTGTCACGCCCGTGCAGGCAGCCTCTGGAGCCAGAGCCTGCATGCCTGCTAGCACTGTGGCCTGCGGCGGTCCATGTGATGGCCATGCTTGCGGTACCCAGCTGGGTGGAAGGCCTGTCCGGCGGCAGCGCCAGTAAGAAGGCTGCGTCTCCTGCGCCGGGAGAGCTGCCAGCGGCCACCGCGGAGGGCCAGCCTGGGGCGTCGGCGGCGGGCCTGGGCGGCGGCGCTGCGGCGGAGCTGCGGGCGCTGGGCAGCGGGGAGGCGCAGCTGCGCGCGCTGGCCTCGAACCCGGACTTCTTCGTCGACGAGGGCCAGCTGTTCGAGCTGCTGGCCGCCGCGCACCAGCAGGTGGCCGACCTCGAGCGGTCTCCGCCCCACGACGCGCGGGGCCTGAGCGAGGCGCAGCAGCTCGCCCGGGGCGCGCTCGGCCTCTGCGCCGCGTGGCTGCGCCTGGCGGCGGCGGGCGGCCTCGTGGAGAGCCTCGAGGGCCTGCGCGGGCCGGCCGCGGCGGAGATGGCCTTCGCCACGGCGGCCGCGGCCGTGTGCTCCGAGACGGGCCTCGGGCCCGCCATGCTGGTGGCCTTCAACGAGCTGGGCGGGGTCGGCCTCATGGGCTCCGCGCTGCAGGGCGTCGACGAGTCCGCGCTGGCGAGCTGCACGCGCCGCCTCCGCAGCGTCACCCTGCGCTGCTGCGCGCAGGCGCGGCGAGAGGGCAGCGCCGCGTCCGAGGCGCTGGCCGCGGGCGTCGAGGGCTTCCGGGCGGGGCTCTTCGCGCGCTTCCGCGAGCTGGCAGGGAGGCCCGGCCGCCGGATGCGCACCTCCCAGTTCCGGGAGCTCGTGGCGGACCTGTGCGCAGTGCTCGGGGGCGTCTACGGCGGCACGCAGGCGTTCGACCAAAAAGCAAGCGACACCACCCCACCCGCGGCCCTCCATGTTGCGCTACGGCCCATCGGGGGCCGCAGCGCATGCCACGCGAAAGGCCCACGCCAGATGTCCTGATCTACGCCAAGCCCCTGGGGCCGTCGGTGGGGTGGTGTCTTGTGTTTTCTGGTCCAGCAGGCGTTCGAGATGGGCTGCCTCCTGTCCTTGCAGCTCTCCATGGAGCTGTCGGCCTCCTGCGAGGGCGTCCCTGGCGGAGACGCCTCGGAGGCCGTCGAGTGGATGGCGTCGGTGATGCGCGCCCTGCTGGACCAGGGGTCCACGTCGGGCGCGCTCGCCTCTCCGGTCGCCGTGCGGGAGTGGGTGGAAGACAGCGGCCTCTGGAACGCATTGCTCTGGCGCGCTGGCTGCGAGACGCAGCAGCACGCCCACCACGTCATGAGCGTACTGCTCACGCGGCACGCGGCCACGGCCGACGACCTGGTGGGCCAGCTAGCGCTGCTCGGGGCGCTGTCCCGGTCGCCGGTCCCGCCGCCGAGCCGCTTGTCGATGCAGGGTGCCCTGTTGTCGGCCGCGTCGTCCGCCGGCGTCGAGGCCACCCTGGACCTCATCGCAGGCCTGTGCAACGCCCTGGGCTTCCAGCACCTCGCCGAGGAGGGCATCGATCTCCTCGCGCGCGCGACGCAGCGGGCGCTGGCCGCCGGCTACGACCCCGGCGGCCACGGGGGTGCCGCGGCCGAGGCCCGGGGGCTGCCGAGGTCCCTGGCGCTGTCCTACCTGGTGCACTTCATGCAGTGGGCCTGCCGGTCAGACGACCCGCCGGAAGGCCCACTCGCGCATGCCCGCAGCACCATCCTGCACACCCTGGCGCTGCACCCCGCCCTGGCGCCGCTGCTGCCGGCCGCCGCCGCCGAGGCTCTGCAGCTGGCCGCCGCGCCGCCCGCGGGCTGCCACAGGGAGGGCATGGAGGGCTGCGTGCGCGCCCTGTGCGCGCTGTCCGTGGACCTGGCCAGTGCTGGTGCTTCGGCTGCCTGTGCCGGTCCGGAGGGCGCGGCCAAAGCCAGCGCCGCCGCCGTGGCGGCGCTGTGCGGCGCGCTGCCCGCGGTGGGTGCCGAGGCGCCCTTCGGCGCGCCCAGTGCGCAGGTCTGGGTCGCTGCCCTGGTCGGCGCGCTGGCGTGCCACCTCCGCGTGCCCGGCGCGCAGATTGCCACGCCGCAGGTGTCGACTAGACGTGAGAGTGACCTTTCGCCGGAGTGACCTTTGGTGCGGGCACAGATGGGTCCCCAGATGGCTGAAAACGAAGCAGGAGCAGCGGCTTGCGCGCCCAGGTCTGGTCCCCACGCGGCCCCCAAAAAGCCGCGCACCGAAGGCCACTCTTTACCCAGGGTCACTCTTGCGTGTAGCCGAAGGTGGGCAGCCTCTGGTCGCGGATGATCGTGCGCCCCGTCTTCGGGGTGCCCCTGCCGGCCTCGTCGATGCAGTACTTCAAGCTGGCCTTCCTGGCGCAGCCCCTGGCCCGCTCGGCCCTGCTGGCCCCGCTGGCGGCGGCGCCGAGCCCGCCGCCGGAGCTGAGCCTGGCCTACGCCTCCATCTTCTGCCCCGCCTCGTTCGACGACGACCTGCCGCCCCTGTCCGTGGAGTTCTTCTTCCCCGAGAGGCGCGCCCCCCGGCCGCAGGGCGCCGGCGGGGCCGACGCCGCGACGGGCGGCGGGCACGACCCCGACCGCGCGGCGAGGGCGCTGCAGTTCGGGGACTCCCCGCCCAGGCTGCCTCAGCCGCTGCGCCGCTCCATCAGCTCCACGGCGGACTTCCCCGAGCTGGACCTGCTCGTGGAGGGCCAGTGCGACGAGGCCGCCCTGGCCGCGGCCGCGGCGGCGGTGGGCGTGGTCCTGCCGTCCGCTTCGACGGCAGCGCCGCGGCTGCGCCTCGACAGGGTGCGGGCCGTGATGAGCGAGCAGAGCGCCCCCCTCTTCAACGAACTCACCGTCTACGAGGCCATCGAGCGCCGGCTCTGGGACGAGTTCGATGAGCGAGGTCGCGTAGAGGACCCAGACGCGACTCGGCAGCGGGACGCCGCCGCGGCGCGCTGCCTGGTGGCGCTGGACCGAGAGATCGACACCGCCGGGTTTGCAGGCCGGGAGTTGGCGCCGCCGCTCACCGAGGCGCGGGCCAAGTTCTCGTCGCTGTGCGAGCTGATCGCCGGCGGCGCCGCCGAGGGCACCGCACGGACGCTGCGTGAGTGCGAGGAGGCCTTCGCGAAAGCCGAGGACAGGTACCTCGCCGCCGGCGTGGTGCACAAGCGCCTCGCGGCGCGGTGCCGGCGCAGAGGCGAGCCGCCCCCGCCGTGCATGGAGCTGACCCTGGCGAAGCAGGTCGAAGAGGAACAAAGAGGGCATCAGAGACAGAAGCTTTTGGCGCTCCGCGCGGAGTTCTTGGATCCGCCCCGGCCCCCCCCCCCCCCGGCGGCGCCTCCGGCGCCGCCCCTGGTGCGCCCCGCGCGCCAGGGAACGGGGGGGTCCAGCGCATGATCCAAGAAACCCCAGCGCGGAGCGCCACCAGTCTGTGCCCCTGCCGGTGTTGCCTCTTCCGGCAGGGCCTGGCGCGCGCTCACGCGGCGCTGATCGCCGAGCTGCGCCACCTGGCCGCGCGGGCCCAGCTCGGCCTGGTGGAGGTCGTGGGCCTCGACGGCCTGGCCCGCTCGCTGCGCGCCGTCGGCGGCAGCCACGCCGACCCGCTCCTCGAGAGCCTGCAGCGGCACTCCAGGTGGTCGGAGGGCACCAACTCACCGCCTCCATCCCCATCCCCCATCCCCATCCCCCATCCCCATCCTCATCCTCATCCTCATCCTCATCCTCATCCTCATCCTCATCCTCATCCTCATCCTCATCCTCATCCTCATCCTCCTCCCTTTCTTCCTCCTCCTCCTCCTCCTCCTCCTCCTCTTCCTCCTCCTCCTCCTCCTCCTCCTCCTCCTCCAGGTGGTCGGAGGGCACAAACTATACACCTACTCCTGGAAGAAGAAGAAGACGAAGAAGAAAAAGAAGAGGAATAAGACAAATAAGCAACGGCATAATCATAAACTTTTGGCGCTCCGCGCGAATTTCTTGGGTCCGCGCTGGGCCCCCCCCCAGCAGCGCCTCTAGCGCCGCCCCTGGCGCGCTCCGTGCGCCAGGGAAGGGGGTTCCAGCGCAGATCCAAGAAACCCGCGCGGAGCGCCGACAGTTTATGCTTGTGGTGTTTACCGATCGTGGCCAGGCCGATCCTGGGCCCAGGATCGGTGTATCTGCTTTCTGGCCAAGCCAGGAGGGCGTATGCGCCGATCCTGGGCCAGGACCTGTGCGGGTTTGTACTCGGCGTCCTCCTAGGTGGTCGAGCGCGCAGGGGGAAGCGGACTGCCAGGTGGAGGACGTCCCCGACGCGACTCGCGCTGCGGCCCAGGACGCCGCGCTGCCGCGGAGGGAGCGCGCCCCGACGGACGCGCAGCTCGCCCGCCCACATGGCCTGGCCACGTACGACGGCACCCGCGAGCTTCTGCGCGGCAGGACGAAGATCTTCGCTGCGCGGCGCGACGGCACGCCAGTGGCGCTGAAGGTGTACACCGACGCCGACGCCGAGGCGTACCAGGCGGAGCTGGCCGCTCTCAAGGAGCTCTACGGGCCAGGCGTCGTGCCGCTGCAGGGGGCGTTCCAGAGCGAGAGCGGGTCGCTCCTCTACCTGGAGCTGGGCTGGTGCGCCGGCGGCACCCTGCAGGGCTGGTGCGAGCAGCACCGCGGCGCCGTGGACGCCGAGGACCCCGAGGCCTTCGTGCTGGGCCTCGGGCTCTTCCGGCAGGTCTGGCAGGCTCTGGACTACGTCCACCTCCGCGGCGCCGCGCACGGCAACGTCGCCCTGGCCAGTGTGCTGCTCACCGTGGACCACCGCCCGGTCCTGGCGGGCTTCTCGCGCTGCGCCATCGGTGGCAGCCTGAGCAGTGCGGCGCGCGCGTGGCCGCCGGAGGCGGACTACGCGGCCCCGGAGGTGCAGCTGCCCGACGAGAGCGGGGAGCTGCCGCTGCCCACCCAGCCCGCGGACGTGTACGCGGCCGGGGTGATGATGGCGAAGGCGTTCC